GCTCCTGAATTAATCTGGAAATGAGGTAATAAGGGACACTTGAAATAAAAGTCAATTTTAAATGTTTAAAATGTTTGAAGCATGAAGAGCAGACTCATCTATTACTAACAGTACTCTGAAGTCCTCCTCTTCCTTTGTAGATGATGTAAATGTAGTATTAATGACATTTTCTGTGATTTTTACTTCTTTTTCTTTATTGACATAATATTACCTTATCCATACATTACCATATTATTAATGTGATATTACTGTATCCATGGACATGCCATTGAGCATTGACAACAACTTTGTCCACTGCAAGCTTCATATCAGCAGTCATATAGCATTTCTTCTGCATCTGTAAGCTTACAGGACAGGGCTGGAAAAGTCCTATTTTTGTCTGAAATATCGCAGCTCTAATATCATATAATTTCAGTAGGTATGAAATCTTGCGGCTCAAATGTCATAAATTTTTGTTCGATTGAAAAATTGCAGTTTGCACTTTGCAAACATGTCATTTCATAAAATTTTCAACTTGCGCAATCCACATTGTTTTACCATTCCCGCCAAAATATCCTGCAGAAAAAACATAAACATCATAATGTAAATAAATCAACTAAACGTTTTGTTGAATATTGCGCATAGTTGCAGTCATGTCAAAGCAGTCAGACTGCATTAACACATGCTCAACTTACAGTAAAGAAAATTTTTATTGTTGCCATTTGACTGTTTTAGGGTAAAATTAGATATTTGGATTTTGGGGTAACATCACCACTAAGATGTGCATGGACTTTGTAAATAAGTTTGCGTCTCATAAATGGCTTTTCATGGCCAAGATATGGAATTCATGGCTTGGTGAAATGGAATCACGGCACGAAGAAATGGAATCACGGCTCGCAACTTCATAAAACCGCAGCTCGAAAAATTCAGTCATGGCTTGCCAAGTGGATATATTCCATGCCTGTTACAGGATGGCTTGTAATTTTGCACAATTTTATTCGAGTTGAGTGATTTCGCTCTAACAAAAAAAATTATAAAAAACCTAGGGTAAACGCCGTATATTCCGACACATTAAGGACACATCGAGAAATGAAAAACTATAAAAAAAACGTATGCATTACGTAAGTTCTGTTGCCTTCACATGACTCTCAAAACACTTCACTACGCATCAGCAACGATGAAACGTCACAAAATGTTGCCATATTTATTAAAAAGCCTTTAGAATGGAAACCTACCAAATCCCTATATTCCATCACTTTGACTACTAGTGTTTTTGCAGTATTTCGACACGCAAATGTATGACATCACCATTTCAACCATCAATGAACGCATGGAACTAAAACAAAGCTTAATATAAAGGAAAAGCTGGAGAGGTGACGGAATTACCTACGATGTCGGAATATACGGCGTTTACCCTACCTGAAACAGGAACTCAGGAAGGAATATTTTAGTGACAACCATCATATTTTTGGAAGAAATAAATCATAGTTTATGTTAATTACTTTTCATTCTTTATTGCCCAGTACATTTTATGCACAATTTTGTGATGAGTGATGCAGTAATTTTTTGTTAAGTGAAATTTTTTCATTAAACAAGGTAAATGTAATCAAAATTCTTTGTTGTTAATTGATTTTTTCATAGCTAAACTGGAGCCTTTGCTAACCAAGGTTCTAATGTAAATGCAATTTTAGGGGTGTCCCTTAACCCTTGTTAGTTATTACCCCAGGGGGGGGGTATGTCCCTTATTACCCTGTTTTGCGGAAATGGCTGCCACTTTTTCTTGGAATGAGATATGCAAATTCTGTTAGTCATGTCTTTAAGCCAACATAAGGGTATAATTTTTATGAAGTAAAATTTTTCAATATGACAAATATTTTTTCTGCTACAGACCTTAGCAGAGGTACCTAATTTTCCAAAATCTCACTTTTTACACTTTTTTTCAGGGATTTTTTAGAGGTAACAAATTCACAAATTTACTATGATTTCTCACCTTGCTTTATGTACATAGATACCGGTAGTAAAAATGTTAAACTTTACAACACTTTTTTTAGTTTTGCAATGTTTTTATCAGTTTAGCTGCTACAACAGTTCTAAAAAATGTTGGAGGACTGCCCCTTATTACCCCACGGGCCCACCCGTCTCTCATTACCCCGTTTGATGGTACGATGGTAGTTTGTCTGTTATCCCATTTTTTCCAATCAGGCGTGAGCCTCCGAGTGAGTTGGAACTTTCTGCAGATTTTGTTTTCCAGATTGCACAACGGGCGACAACGCTATCACGCCATTGAGGGAATTTGAGGCATTGACTCTTGCAAGTGTAAATTTAATCCCTACTATTTTTATCCTATCTACCTTAATTTACAATTTTTTGACTGAAAAGTGGAGGAGGTGGATCGAAAATGATATATGAACTAGAATTTTTTTAATTCCATCATGCGTGACGCACTGACGCTGCTGATGGTTAACTTTAACCCTTTACGCCCTGGTGTGACAAATTTGTCACACAGAAAAAAACATCGGTTTTCCAACAATTTCACGTTTTCTGTCATTTTTTCAAAAAATTCACATGAATAAAAAAAGTCTTAGATTTATTTTTTACATATGTGTACCAAGTTTCAAAGTTATCTGTCGGTAAGTAACCGAAATAAAATTTCCAATTTCCAAGATTTTGGTACCGTTGGATAGGTCAGAATGTCAGCTTTGAAGTGAGACTTAAAACCAAAAAAGTGAATTTTACGATTTTCATCCCAGAAATTCAGGGCGTAAAGGGTTAAGGCTTTTGCAAGCACTAACTGACTAAGCAGCAAGCTCAAGCTGAAGACATGGTCACCTGAAGTTCAGAAGTTGTGGCTGCAAACATCCGATTCCGACCGGCGCTATGATTTTTAGTAGAATAGTAAACTATAACTTCATAGGCTACGCTATAAAGCCTCTAGCAAAGCGTTCTTATACACGGAAAGGAATATAAACGAAGTGCGAGGCTGCAAGCCTGCGGTTTGGCAAAGCTGGCCTCAGTTCTCCGTCGGTCTCCGACATGCGCCCAGTCCTGCCAGTCCAGACTCCAGAGTCCACGTCCATCGTGCAGCTGGTCTAGTCAAAGACGTACGGCAAATCTTTTCCGCTTTATTCAGGACTAAATAAAGTCGAATTGGCATTGAACTATTAACATGCTACGGTAGGACTCATTGATTGACAGCCTAGGAGGTTTTCAAACATAACGGCATAGTTTAGAAAACACGAGTGCTTTCTTTAGTCCTAATTTACAAATAGTAGTTGTTGTATAATGGTTTGGTGGCGCTTCAGCTATTCGCGCCTATTTTGGCGGCGCAACCTATTTCGCGCCGGAGGTCAAAATGTAACATCGCCAGAAGGCGGAAGTTCTCAATTATTCAAAGTCTCAAATTATTCATCACCCATAAGGAGTGGAAGGTCTCAGTTGTCCAACCCGCTAAAGCTGGCTCGAGAGAAGCAGCGTTAGCATCTCAAAGAAACGAAATGACAAGGAGGGACAGGTGAAAAGCAACAGAAACTAAGACACTCGAACAATAGGTCGCTTACACGGGACGTCGGCCGCCCGCACGAGAGAGACAGAGAAGGGAAATGTAAGGAATCCTTCCTACATAACAACTTAACCCCACAACTGAGACCAAAATTCAGATACCGCGAGCTCAGCGGTAGGGCGCTTAGGAACAGGCACCCTAGGAGCGCGAAATCCCATAGTACAGTTCTGACGAGCATAGACACACATCAGAAGTCCCCCCAGAGGGGGAATTTACGAATAATACTTTTTTCATGCAAAAATACTAGGAGATATGGCAGAAATACTATGATCTCACACTTCCAGTTCTTTCTAAATTGCCAAATCCACAAGTAAGGGTTTCAAAAGTTATGATTGAAACAAACTAAATTAATGTCTTAACTTCAAAGTAACAGGATTGGATTACCGGTAGTGTGCAGGGGGTTCAATCTAAGCTTCCTGTGGCGTTTCTGGTCAAAACCGGTGGCTAGGTAGTTTAGGCTGTTCAGAACAGCAGGATTGTAGCTCTGAGTTACGGGATCAAAACCATAGCAACCGAAAGAATTCTACGAGGTCTAGAGTCGGCGACTGGCCAGATTGGGCCAGTTAAACGCTGAAAACTTCCCGCGCAAAACCTCAACTATCCATATTACAATGAACTCATCAAATTCTTCAAACACAAATATCAAGCTCTACATTAATCCGATGTGACTGTGAAATTCAATCAGTCAGATGAGACTATTTGCCCTAACAAAGGGTCAACTTCACCGACAGGACAACCTGCGCACGTTTTAATTAGAATAGAAGTGTCGGCACTCAAGAAATAGGCCCATGGCCTGTTGCCGATTCTTGTGCTTTTCGTCACTTAATTCACAAGGGATCCGGCCTTTGGAACCCGATCTTTCCATAACTGACGATTGATTGAGATAGCTGCTGGACTTATTGCCTGGTCCGTAATTTGCTAGGCATTTTAAGACTGAACATATGCTCCAGCATAGCTTCGTCTGGACTTATTGCCTGGTCCGTAATTTGCTAGGCATTTTAAGACTGAACATATGCTCTTGCATAGCTTCGTCTTGTCTGTTCTTGAAGGAGTTCATACTCGGAGCGTCAACGATGCTATCAGCAGGGACGCTGTTCCACATGTCGGTGACTCGAAGCGAGAAGAAATGTTGTCGCATGGATGTGTTACAACTCAGTTTTTTAGTATTGCTACAAATAAGCACCCATACCAGTTTACATCCCAATACAGGAGCCGAAGCTTGTGCTCTACAAACATATTTCTATTAAGGAAAGAAAACAATAAAAAATAAAAACCAATGACAGATAATGAGCTAGAAGTAATTCCCTAACATTTTGTGAATTATAGTCAAGCCCATTCTTATAGTCAAGCATTCAAGCTTGTACATAACAAGGAAACTATTTACTATTATTGTAGTGTCCAATTCCAACTTTGTACATTAATGAAGTAATCTAACATTCGGGAAAAATTAACAAAACAACAATTTCGGCGAAAATTGTATATTCTCCTCAGTAGAAGTTGAAAGACCTCCCAGGCCTATCATGGCGTTGTTATAATAATCACAAAAGAAGTTAGAAAGCAGTGGTATGGCAATGAGGTTCACTCAATAATAATGTGGAGATGAGGCAATAAATAACTGGGAGTATCGCGGATAAATACAAAGAAAATTATCAACAACGGTGGAAATTCCAAGTTCACATCCAACAACACTCATTCTAGTTGACAACAAGGGTGGAATTATTGAGCCTACTTGCCGGCACGCGCACACACGTGCAACATTAGAGGGACGACTCTCAAACATGAGATTACAACCTGTCATACAAAAATTCATATAAAACCTGGCTGGTCATGCCACACTACAAGGAAACGTAGGTCGTTCATGCACACGTTTTCGTTTCTAGGACTAAAACGTTCTCAGCGATCTGTTTCGATATTTACAATTGATGTCTCTGTGAGACCTGAACAATAACACTGACATCACCACAGTGTCCAGCATGAAGCACAGGCAACTGCAACCTCCACAATTCTAAGTACATCCCTAAAACATGTAGAGACTGACGGAAATTCAATTCTTCAGGTACCCCACAACGATGTCAAGTAAGCCTTCAAGTTCAGTTACTCGATAGATTGCGTATGGTCTTTACATCTGACCGACGTTTCTGTCACTAGCAAAGGTTATTGACAAAAAATTCGAGTATCGATAGGCAGACCAACGGTTCCTAGGATAGTTGGAGTATACAAATAGAGATGTAGCAACGAAAAATTATACTTTTTGATGATGAAACTGAGATTTTGCAAATAACGATCACAAAAAATGCATCATTTTAACGAATAGTTAAACAGAAAGTTCAGTGCGTATTCATTTTAACAATATAATACATGTCCACAACATTATCAATTACTGCATGACTCAATGACAATACTTGCTCATCGCGAGGACCTACCTTCTGAGACATGATCAAAAGAACCTCCATAAATGACGACTGCTTTTGTTCACCATTCGAGAAGAATGTAAATTGCAACATAACAACAAGCACAAGAAACTTAAAAAGCAAATCAAATACATTTTCTTCTTTCGTTACTTGAAGAACCCTTCGCGCCTGACCTAATGCTTTGATGTACAGTAATATACAAAAAATCGTCTCGACCCCATCAAACCAATTCAAGTAATAATATGTAAACAAGTAATCATGAACGGACAAGCCCAGCCTCCATCAGCACTAGGACACAAATAAGAATATCAATAAGTGATATGAAAGGTTTTCATAAAGTAACGATCTCTGAAAGCATCACTAATATGGCATCAACCAAATAATAGTTGCCAAACAAGTCGAAAAAATAATGTATATTTTAAACGTTCACAAAAATGATCAAAACACACTTCTTGTGCAGACACTTTCATGCCTTAACTCATCATTTCTACAGCACTTATATCAGACATTAGGCTGTGTTTTGAAGAGATATGGTGAACCATGTTTATTCGCTGGACACGGAAATTTCAGTGGTCGCAAAGCATATCTTGGTGAGATGTAAACTAAGATGACTGCTTCTTTCGGACAAATTGGGATCATTCATGTAAGTCTTCCGTAGCTGGCGAGCTGATCGTTTATCCACAGCATTACAGCCCACGCCAAAAAAATGCGTTCCAGGAGCGAAGCAGCAAACAATAATAATGCAATGGTACTTTTAAAGGGTCAGGAGAGCTTGCGGTCTATATAGCGGGCAGATGTGTAGTTCGAGCGGAACCTGTACGGAAATAATCGGTTATTTTGATGGGGACAGAAGCAAGCAGCTATCACATGGACGAATTGAACAGCTTTGAGCTATGGGCAGTAAAACTGATTGTATTTGAGAAAACTAACGCAGAAACTCTACTGTACTTATAAAAACTCTATTAACTTTTTGTAGGAAAGAACATCATCAGTCGTTTTCGTGACGAAGTTATACACAATGGATATTTTTTAACCCTTTAGTGTCTATCTGTACACACATGTCGCCTATCATAAGGTCGATTTTTGTTGTTTTGTTTTTTGTTGTCAGTTATTTTCAATTAATGAAATTCAGCAATGTGGTATTTTGCACTAGCAAGGTAGCTGATCGCTAGAGGGTTAGGTGTTTGAAAGTTTAGCAGGCTTGTCCAAGTCGACATAAAAAAGTGAGCAGGAGAAAGGATACGACCTGTTGAAGCGGGAAAGAGGCTGTGATCAATCGTGATCTCAATCGGGACGCATTGACAAGTAAAATTTTGCCTCATAGAAGAAATAAAACTATCAATTAGCGAAGGGAGACGGCAGGGTTGATGAGGGCGGTTTCCAGCGGCCCGCTTGTGGTCAGAGAGGAGCCGTATGCCGAGCGTAAGATTTGTTTTCAGCAATGGTCGCTTGAATGTTACAAATACAATACGATGAAAGCCTTTAAATTAGGGGATATTTACCAAAGTGACAGCCTGCCATGCGTATGCTAGAGCGCTTTGATGACAATTTGAACGTCGCGGCATGACTAAGCGACTTATTTGTATTCGCCAAACTCATAATTACCAGGACGTGTGACACGCAGCAGCATGACTACGCGACGTATTTATATTCGTCGTGGTTGCTGTTGGAGCGTTCGATGTATTGCTTGTCGAGCAGCAGCTCGATGCATTTCTTGATCATCGGCACTTGGGGAGCGAAGCGGCCCTTGGATTGAGAGATCACCTGAAAAACATCCATTTTAAGCGCTCCATCCCAAAAAGCATACACTTCATACGTAAGGGATACAGTAATACATATTTTCCACCTACTCACATTTGGAAATGTGATTCATTTGTGAGAAATTGAATAGGGGGGGCGAACTAAAAGTATTACTAATTATTCTATCGTGAAATATAGTACTTCAGAGCTTCTGTACATACAATATCATACGGCATTCTGACTCAATAACATGCAACAAACGCCATAATAGAACCCCACACTACAAGTCAATACACATAACATCAGGCAGACACGCACCTCCTGTACGAGGTCGGTGTGGCGGGCCAGCTTGCGGGTCTTCATGATGCGCACGATGGCGGCCTGCAGGTACATCTTGCGGTCCTCCTCTACTGACGAGTGCGCTGCCGCCACCTGTAGATTTAATATTTGACGAGATACACATTTGATAACTATGTTATTTGATTAAAATACATATTTGATAACTATGTTATTTGTTAACTATGTTATTTGATTGAAATGATATTTGATTACGATATTATTTGATAACTATGTTATTTGTTAACTATGTTATTTGATTAAAATACATATTTGATAACTATGTTATTTGATAACTATGTTATTTGATTAAAATGACATTTGATTACGATATTATTTGATAACTATGTTATTTGATTGAAATGATATTTGATTACAATATTATTCGATAATTATGTTATTTTATTAAAATGATATTTGATTACGATACATTTTATAACTATGTTATTTGATACCAATGCCATTCTCAGTCAGTCACACGTGGCTCACGAACACCTCATTCAGTGAGCATTAAATTTTCTAGTAATTTCGGAGTATCTGCAAGAGCAAATTTTGTCATAGCTGAAGTAACAAGTGAAGAATGAAGAATGAACATCATATCATCATAGTTATTGGAAGAATGAACATAATATCATCATAGTTATTGGTCCACCAAACTACTATATTGTTCACCATTGTCCATTTATATTTACTAATTAATCATTTCTTTCGCCATAGTTTGTTTCCTCGTGATCACCATTAATATTCCCTGAAAACAAAACTGCATCAAAGTATAAAAGAGAAGAAAGCATCTAAGTTGCCCACACCACAAGAATTTGTAGTGCACGACAGGAGTCTCCTAAGGGAATAACTCGCAGCCTTGGACAAGGCCATAACTCTACTGTTATAGTAGTTTCCACGCCAATAAGGTTAAGTACTTATAAGGGCACAGCGGCACAAGTAAGCTGTCGAAATAGCTATCATGTTAGCCCGATAGTACATGCTCGTTATCCATTGAGGGAAAAGCTTCGTTGCCTTCAGGGTAAAGATGATTAATTTTTTTTTCCGTAGCTTGAGAACTGACCTCTTGCTGCTGTTGTTCTTTCACTTGCGCCATGGCGATTCTGAACTTGAATCGCTTGTTCGAGTACTTCAAGTTCAGGCTGATCACTGAGTCGTCGGTCAGCTCCTGCAGAAAGTAAATTAATACAACATTACGAATCTCTCAGCTTATCGTCCATTCTCTCGTTTAACTCAGGTACATAATTGTTTTATTTATTTTTCTTATAACAGTGAAAACATACCAATCAAATTAAAAAAAGATCATGATCGTAAGAAATGTAAATTTCACAATTCAAAACTAATACCTACTAAATTCAGTAGGCAAGTCATTTATATAAAATCCTAGGCAGGTTCAAGGTAATTTCCAGAAATATTTAACAGGAAGGCTGACAGAAAATCTTGATCTATTTTGCACCGAAGGTCCAAAACTCATTTCTTATGGTGGCCGACATTAATTTTTCTGAGCTCAGTGTGGGTCCCGCTCGGTATCTCTCGTCGCTCGGTTAAGTGGTCAGTGCACGCTGTCGCGAAGATTATAGTTTGCCTTGAGGTCTTAAAGTTAATGTGTGTCATCACGTTGGTGTGTAGTTAGCGCTGGTGTCATCAGATCATCAGTCCTAAAGTTCAGAGAGTAGGTTACATTGCATTTAATATCGCTTTAGGCTGTCTTCTGTTAAGTTGATTTGAAGGATCTCCCTCATAACCCTGGCTAGGGTTTCATCCGTTGGAGAATATTTGGGGAAACAGTTTCTTTGGTTGACGCTGTAGTGGCCGTACGCTGTAGTGGCCGTCCTTAAAGCAGCCGTGAGGGGAGGATGACGAAGATATTGCTCTCGTCAATTCAGGCGGCGAGTGCAATCTGCTCTCACCCACAGTACCACGACAGGATATAGATATATTCTATAAATGAAGACAGAATAAAGAAGAAAGACAAATTAAGTAAGGAATGCCGTACCCTAAGCTTCCCCACGGCCACTTCCAAGCGACAAGATCTCTGGTAGGAAGAGTTCCAGGCTCGTACATTGTCCTTCAGGGCTCTCCACTTGTTTCCCTGTATATTCTGCCAATGTTCTTGCGTTACAAATGACTGATTTTATTATGGGATAGTAGTCGCGACTTGGACTTATTCATTGAAGATCGCCATGTCGGACGTGGCCGCGCTGACTGCCGCCTCGTCCGCCCTCTTTTTTCGGCGCATCCCGACGTGGCCCGGCACCCAGCAAACTCGTACCGCTATTCCCGTCATTTACAGCTCTGTCTGCCTTACCAGGATATCCATAATGACGGGGTGCTTGTTATTGTACATTCTCAGAGCTTGTACTACACTTTTAGAATAGATTAAAAGAGTGAATTTACTCCCTGATAGGTCTTCTCTGGCAGTGGGGAGCTCCTATGTACTCCTATGAGTAAAGATCGACGTCTTGGGATTGAATCTTCTTGCGATCGCTGCGGCACCGGATACAGCCGCACATCCCACTGTACCATCTGATTTGGAGTCATCCTTGTAGATGTGCGTCGATCCTGTGCGTTCCATGTATATATGGTTTAGGAACAGGTTTTTCAGAGCCGCCGGGAGTGTTGCAGGTTTCTGTGGGTAGTTTTGGTCAGGGCAGAAAAATCTATGGGGATATGCCACGTGGATGGGCCGTTAAAATTAACAGGCACCATGCATATCTGCGGTAACTGTGCTGCTGCCAGTAGTGTTCCATAGTCCTCGTAGGATGGGATCTTATACGAGAGAAGGCTGGCTTGGTCGTGGGTCATAACGCTGTGCCAAGTTGGGGAGTGGGGCAGTAGTTTGAGGTAGGTTATTAGTTAGAGCGTGAGTTGTGCTCTGCGTAGGTAGAGTGGTGGTTCACCGCTTTCTGCATAAAAGCTGATGACAGGTGATGTTCTGAAGGCTCCAGTGCACATTCTTACAGCTGTGTTATGGACCGAGTCTAATACAGACAGGGTTGCTTTGCTGGCGTTATGGTATATTTTGCTTCCGTAGTCGAACTTAGATCTGATCGTAGCCCTGCAGAGGCGGAGCGGGGGTTAGTCCGTCGGCTCCCCATGTTAATCCGTCCATGTGTTTCAGCAGGTTCATACTCTTTAGGCAGTTGCTTTTCAGAGCCTGTTTGCAGCAGAGTTTGCAATCAAAAGTCATGCCGAGGAACCTAGATGTTGGGAATAAGGTAATTGGTCTAGCTTGTAGGAGGCTTTTGAGTGGAGCGTACTTGTTGGAAGTGTACTGAAGTCGTGCACTTCAATAAATTTCTTCTTGCCTATTAACGGTTCTTATGCGAGTCGATAATAACTTTAGACTCAAAACAAAACTACTGAAAAAATACATTAGTGGAAAACAACTGCCTTATAGCAATACGTCGAGTTTCTGAGCAATCAAAACAAAATAGACTTGGGTTTCCATGTTAACTTTCGCTTGTAAAAAGCGTCGAGCATTTATATTTTATTTATTATTTTATTGCCATTGCTTCACCTTAGAGTCAGTGACGAGAAGTTTGCTGTCAAGAAGCGGCTGAAGGAACCTGCTGAAGCCGTCTGATGTGAACTTGGTCGCTTCAGTCAACTCGCTGAGCTTCATGCTGTCAGTCTGTACAAGTTCATCTATTATCAAATTCAATGTAACAACTTATCAATGCTAAATATTTCCTACCAACATTTGTTGTTTTCTCTACGTGCTGGAGGTTATATACACAATACATTGTTAACAAACAATTGTAAAAGAGATACGTGCAATAGTTCAATACTTGGAGAAAAAGATCAATCTCGTATTCCGAGTATTTAGTATAAAATCATCATCATAATTTTCAGAAGTTATTGTACCCATTGCTTTATTTTGAGCTTGAATAATTGAAGAGAGAAATATAATCCTGAAGCTGAGGAGGTCTCACTTTCTGGAAGAGCAGCATGATGACGACGTGGTAGGAGACCATGGTGATGATGTAGGTGCGTGACGTGAAGCAGCACTTCAGCTCCCCTGCACGTCACATGGACAAGCTAAGACAAGCCACGTCACTAAGACAAGCCACGTCACTAAGACAAGCCACGTCACTAAGACAAGCCACGTCACTAAGACAAATCACAAGCGCCGTCACTAAGACAAGCCACGTCACAAGCGCCGTCACTAAGAACGGCCACGTCACAAGCGCCGTAATTCAGTCCAGCTCAAACTATTGCATTTTGCTTGTTAAGTTTGTACCTTATCACTAATCTGTTCTGCGCAGTGAAATGCAAGGTTTTGATTTAAGGGGAGCGTCTGGGTCCCAGAAAAACTTTTTTATTTATCAACGGATCACTTTGAAACTTGGTATATACATTTGTAAAACATAAATCTAAGACTTTTTTATTCGTATAAATTTTTCGAAAAAAATGAAAGAAAAAGTGAAATTCTTAGAAAACGGCCAAAAAGGGGGTACTGTAGAAAACTATCTCCTCCTAGGATTTTCAAGCTACAACATCGAGACGAATATATATTCGACGCGTAAAGACTATACAGTGGGGGGAAATAAATATTCGTACACTTGAAAAATCGTATTTTACTGTATGTAAGTACACAAACTTAAAAGGAAAAGTGATTTAAATTATGTATAGAGACGCATAGTATTCAAAAATACTATCAAAAGAAATTAAATCTCAATGCAACAAAAAACAATGCAACATCTGTCTCTTATACACATCTAGATGTGTATAAGAGACAGAANATGTTGCATTGTTTTTTGTTGCATTGAGATTTAATTTCTTTTGATAGTATTTTTGAATACTATGCGTCTCTATACATAATTTAAATCACTTTTCCTGTTAAGTTTGTGTACTTACATACATTAAAATACGATTTTTCAAGTGTACGAATATTTATTTCCCCCCACTGTATCTATCGATTGGTCATTCATTTTTTCTAAATTCGAATTTTTGTGGGTGACGAGCATTTTTCGTAAATTTTTTCGAAAATTTCTCGATTTTCACCCACCGCCCCTTTCCTTTTTTCTAAATAGAATAAAAACTATAACGAAATTCCAGAAAGTGAATGAGCAATCTCTAGATCTTTTATTTGCGAATCGAACAGTATATCTCTCATTGCTGTAGCTTCAAAACTGTAGGAGGAGATAGTTTTCCAGTGACAATAAGTGTGATTGTTCAGTTGAGCCCGACAAAGTCCCGGGCGCATCGAAATCGGCATTCAAGGTTGCAAGGATGCAAGACCAGACGTTACTGGAGCTATGTCTCTGTCAAGGATGATGGGAACGACAGAGCGCAACCATCCCTTACGACAGCTGAAGGGTTACTGGAGCGGAGAGTGTGAAGACTGTACTGAGTGTATGAGGCATTTACTGAGGCATTTACTCCCTATGTTAAATGTTAAAGGACTCCACCAACCCTTGCCCTTTCGCGATCTGTCGTGAACGCATAAATCAACGTACAGAGATGGTTTTGGTACCGTTGGATAGGTCAGAATGTCAGCTTTAAGATGGGATTAAAAACCGGAAAAGCCAAAATTGTCGATTTTGGACCAAGACGCTCCCTTTAAACTAATCTCGCACAATGTTCTTATGCTACGACTGCGATAAGCTGAAGGTCGTTATAATAAGAACGAGATTTGCTTCATAATTATCACAAGAGCCAGTACATTCTTAACATATGCAGTTTATTCAATAATTGGAAATTCTGCGTAGACTGATGCACAAAAACTTTGAGATGAAATTCTATCCCGAAGCTGCTCGTAGCAATTCAATTTACTCGTAAAAAATTCCTGTTGAAGAGTACGGAACGATTGCACTGCCTTCTTTCAAGTAATTTGAACTACTTTTATGCTGGCCAATAAATGATGTCAAGCAAGCTTAAACAAATGGTATGCCTCACTTATCAAAAAATATAATTCATTATAATTCTATTATAAGGAATTATTACTATTATTCATTTTTGTCATAATTCCTTATAATAATTATTATTATAATTCCACCTTCAACCTTATGAGCAAAAGAAAGGTTGCTGCTGATATTAAATAAATCAGGGGATTTCAGGGGGCCAGTGAACTATCAAATTGACTAACAATAAATAAAATTCGCCACTCGCCTTGAGATAGATGATGTAGCCACGTCAATTTTCTGCCGTTGAAACTTGAGTGGTAGAATTTCTCGAACTGAAAAGAATGGGTAAAATCGAACGCGTTAGTGATGATAACAATGTGAATTGTTAGTAAGTTCACGTCCGAATGAAGTTATGGAACAGTAAAGCGGGTGATACATTTATGCCACGTAATATTTCATGCACACTTATCATTAATCAACAAGCTGTCATCAAAGTGCAAAATTTCATAGGCATAATTCAACTTCATAGAGACTAGAGAAACTAGAAAGCAAACCTCGAATAGAAAACTTGCCCAAAGAATATTCAATGTTTGCGGCAAGGTCATAGTGCAGTACATGAAAAAATCTATGACACATACAGTATTTATCCAAGTGAACTAATATTAGAAAATCAGCTAGTAAAAATAATATGACTTCTGACATAAATAATATCTTCGGCATGATAAGAACTCACTTTCTGATACAAGACGCTTGATATTTCGCTCTACAGTGCTTGTCAACGAGAACAGTAGTGGCAGCCTGTAATAGTTTCAAAAGCTGTCCGCCACTATTTACCGCCTAGTGTATAGGCGTTACTGGCCACAGATGGACCCAGTGACCCGTTACACGAGGCCAGTGGCTTGAATATTAGTAGCTGTTGGCATCTGAAAGTTATACTGGCCGCCACTACTGTGCCTTTGTACAAATACCGTTAGTCACTTTACTTGTTCTGCCCAGCTGAGCCTTTGCATATGTTCAATGTGGCTTACCAGAGATGCAGCTCTATAATTAGAAAGCGTTTACATGGCAAAATTAATTGTATGTCGCGATCTTCATGTGTTTCTCAGGGGGCATGGCAGGGGCAAGAAATTATTTTGTGTGTACGTGACTCACATATTGCAAGGGCTTCTCGAGCTCCAGGGGCAGCGCCATGGAGAAGCCCAGACTGGTGGTGCCCAGGGGCCACGCTCCAGCCTGCGGGATATAACAGCACAACAAATATATAAACATTTCAATCTTTCACGCATTGTTAGACTAACCGTCCACTACGCTATTCCTACCTAAAGTCCTGGTAGTCACCGTCAAAGATAAAAAAAAGTTGAATATTTACAATAATTAAGTTGTGCTTCACATGAAGTATTCATCAGGAACGAACTCTAACTGAAGGAAAAAATTTCCAACCTAATATGTCATAAAATTGGCAAGTTTGTTGGAACTTTTGCAGCAATTTTTCATATGCATGCTAAATTCTATTTCCAACCAGTTTGATTTAAGACTAAAAATTACCAAAACAAATCAGCCCCAAGTAGCACATAAAAGAATCGAACCAAAAAGCATGTTTGAAACAAATCATCCACGATTTTATTTTACATACACAAATAATTTTACAATTATTTATTTTACATACAACTAAAAAAATCTAAAAAAATTTGTCCCACTCAAAAGGCTACTTTCATAACAATAACTCGAGGCTTATATATGTGGGTATAGAGATTTAAAAAATAACTGAAGAGTGGCCTGGTGAATCCCAAAATTGCATGGAATTAGATTTGAATCACCGGAATTTTGAAGGCTGTAAATAGCTACACGAATGAGCAGACTGAGTCACCTGGAGGATGTTGATGGCAAAGTTAGTGTCCAGGGAGAGTTTGTTGTCCTTGAGGAACTCGCTGAACTTTTGGTTCTGGCTCTCGCTGAGCGTCATGTCTGTGAACATCCTGTGCAGCTTGCTTGTGAACTCGTAGCCGCACGCGCTCTGCCCGCACAACGGAATGTATCATATGTTACATATAATTGAGTATGTGTAAATTTGCTATTCATATATTACGTACACTTGAGTTATACGTTACAGAAGTGCACTCAAGCTTTACGCAACACACACATCAATTATGCTGTGGCACAGTTTCATTCAGCATGTGGCGTTCACACCTATACACCATGCACGTTTTCAAAGTTAAAGTTGAGGCTTCACGACTAAAATAAGCCTAAAAATGTATAGATTAAACTATGCGCCTTTCAATCCTACATAATCTATAAAATTACACCTTAGAAGATATCAGCTGCATAACCTCAGATGAGCTCTCAAACTAGCTCCAAGTAGCGGCTTACTTCTCATTCATGGAGCGGATGTAAGTTTATCTCAAACAGATGAGGTCTAATTCACTCATAACGATGGTCTCAAGTTAACTAAAAGGAGACATCAACTTTTACTTGCTCATGAAAAGTAATTATTTCAATCAATAAGAAAAGATTTATCGTTGACAGTGGGAGCGAATACAAAACTGAATGCAATACCTCGAGCAAGTGAACCTAGAAAGTGAACCTTCAACTGCAGAAGTTTGTTAGAAAGACCACCTTGAGTTTGTTGATCATGGACTCCTCGAGGTCCATGGAGACGCTCTGCTGGTGTATGAGGCGCTTGGCGAGATGCCGCGAATAGAACTTCTGGAAGACATCCTTGTCCTCGACGTACTTGAAGATGGTGATGCAGTGCGTCAGCTTGTCGTCCACTTCACCTTCAGACAATCCTTTGGTCGACTTCTTGAGCAATGTGTCGCAGTATCTGGGCACAGGAGCAATTATGAGATATCAAATTAATTAGTAATGCCAGTTTATACAAAAGTCATGCGGCAGGTCCATACCATAGTCTGAGCAAACTGCACAGAATCTGGCAGAACAGAATCCATACAGAATCGGGCACCATACAAAAATAGATACGAGTTTGTAACTCCGTCTGCCAATCACTGATGGCTTCTGAAACTATATTCACAAATCATAGACGAGAAATTGGTCGCTATGTGAACTTTGTCTGCTACGTGAACTTAAGGGAGTTTTGACTAGCCATGCAGCCCTACTGCTGCTGGCAGGCTATCAACCAAATTGTGTGTAACTTGTACCACTAGAAATTAAATGAATTTATAGATAATTGGCGATTGAGCAATGCTCATTATTGATTTTGACTTTGAACCAAGTTAAATGTTAAATTTCTTTGCATTTGTGCAAATAAGAGAAGCGTAGAACAATACAATAGAAAGAATCAGCTCACTAATCTTTCAATTCTTTCTAATATAACTTGCTGATGCAGAACCAAACCATAAATTTAAAAACTCGAAAATTTGGACAAGAAGTAAAAAAAATTTTTTCCACGAGTTTTGAGAATGATCAATGCAATCATTATGAAATACAGATATAGTTTAAAAATCAGCCCGAAATGTTTTAACAGAACATCACACTGTGATGAACACTTGAATTGGTGACAGCCAGTTGAAACAGAACAAAATAAGTTATTTATTAGATGTTAATTTGATTCATGCCAATTAATTATGTCTGAAGAGAGTTCAAAGAATTTTTCAAAGTTCCCGAATACATTGATGTACTTACGCACTGAGAAGAGATGTTGCTAAAGATTTTCACAACACCCAACTGGTTTTTGAATTTTAAAGAAACATTTGAATTACCTTTGCTACAAATGGGGACCTTCTCTTCAGCTGCACTTACTTTGCGATGATTTCTGGACTTTTAGGGAAATTTCTGGACATTTTTGAGTTGACAACGGATTCGAAGGCTCGGTGCAGCGCCTCCTGGAACTGGTGGTCGCGGTTGAACATCTCGGCGACCAAGCCCGAGTATTTGGCGTGCACCGCTAGCAGGTTTTCTACGAACTGTGTCGCCATCTGTAGGGAAAATAAATGTACAACGTTTTGGCTGGATTCAAAACTATAGAATTTTTAACGATTTCTGGCATTTTAAGTTAAATAAAAAATATGATAAGGCAAGACATGACCCCTAGACTAGAAAAATATTTACTCACAATGAAATAGTGCACTATATATCTGAAAACTTTCTACTCACAATGCATATAAATAAGTACTAACATTTTCACCGGAGAGCTGATGAACAGCCTGCAGGCCTTGCTGTTTAATGTGCTCTTGAATGCACGAGACGAGAGGCTTGAGGGCGTCCTTGATGGGCTTGAGCAGCACGTACATGTTGGCCAGGTCCTCGACGCGCTCACCAGCCACGAGTTTGCCACACTCGCCGTGCAGCATCGTCATGTGTTTCTCTACGAGCTCCACGTGCACCTTCTTCTCCAGCTTCACGTGGCAGCTGCACAGAGAGTTAAATTGAGACTTCATTGTCTCCTGAAGCTACAGTACGAATAGAACACCAAAAAATTCACTTCGTTATGCCCAAAGTATGAAATGACTCTTCTCTTTATACTAGAGAAGACTCATTTGTTTATTAAATGAGTAAAAAGCAAATAAAATAATGCAAAGATAGATGAACCGCGGTAATTGCATACAAGTGAACAAAAATGTAGAAACAAAGAAAGGACGAGTGAACAGAAACAGGAAAAACGAAGAGAACAAACGAAATTAATGCAAAAGAAACGCAACTAATGCAAGAGATTGCTTGAAAGGAAGGATGTGCACCCAGTAGACAGACAAGGAAGGTGATAGGGATTATTCTTGTATTATTTCTGTTCTGCTACTAACAAACACAGGAGAAACCAAAATTCGTATTCTCTTGAGGACTGCTAGTGAATGAGACTTTGGCTAAAGCAGGTCACTCCTAATAAACATACTTGGCACCCTACATCTAACCATCACTAGAAAGCATAAAATTTTAAAACCATTTGAATTGTTAAGCAAAAAAATACAGTCTTCCAGCATGATACATAACTTCGAAAAACAATGTAAAACAACTCATATTAATTAGAAGGCTCTTGGTTTTTTTAAAAAATTTGCTAATGATTAATAAAAGGCCCTAACTCAGTAATTATGATAAAATTAAACTAAAAGACAAGAAATAATGACTGATGGCACCTTGGAGGAAGGAACTTGGCACAGCGCATCTTCTCTTCCTCCTTGCGAGCGATGACTCGGGTCATGTACTGGGACGGCGTCAGCTCCTGGAGGAGGGCAATGCTCTCCCCTCTGTAGAACTCGGCAGTCTGCTGCAGCAGCAGCTCCTCGAACACGCTCTCATACAGCTGCAATGCAGAGCTCAGTGGGTACAAGAGACTGGAACAACATACTTCAATACAACCCACATTATGATAATCAAACAAGAAGCAAGTTATTGATGGTTAATAATGCTAATATTGAAACTTGTTTCAATTAATACAGTCCTTTCAAAGTTCAATGAAGTTGCTTGTTTCACAAAATAAAAAATATATATTTATTTGTGTATAGAAATTTTTTAATTACCTAAGCCAGAGCCTGATGGCTCAATTTCTATGTATCATAAAGGAATAGTAGGTACATCAATAAGAACTCTGACCAGAACTGCAAAAAAGTAAAAAGTTTATACTAATAAGTTTCAGTTATAAAGTATAAAATAAAAGTTGTTCAATCTTCAGCTCCCTGCATTAAAAGGTAAACAAACCATAGGCCTTAACAGATAATAATTGCCACGGCTAACAAAAAAAAACATTCTGGTCTCCTCACCACATATGTGTTCTTCTTCTTAAAGTTGCACACTTCCACAAAGGACAATATCACCCCCTTGACAATGTGTACGGGAGCCACAAGTCCTTTATTGAGTCTGTCTGCCTTGATACAAGACAGCAGCACCAATACGAGTCTCTCCTTTAGTAGCTTGATAAACTCTTCTTTCCAGATTTCAAAAGCAAGCTCACCTGCACAAAAAAAATTTGTTTCAACTTTTTTATTTGGGTGAGATTAGTGATTTGAGATTAGTCTGTGATTTTTACCACAACCTCATTAATCACACTCAAGCAACTGAAGAAATAATATTTCAATCCTAAGCATGAGATATGATATAATTGTGAAATTAATGTAAATTTGGAGCCTGCAAGCAATAATTTCTTGGTTTTGCTCTAAGAAATTAGCATCAGTTTCATAGCTTATATGTAATGAGCAAGCCATCTGACGCAAGATCATAAAAATGTGTTGAATTTAAATTATTTGTAAACTGAATTGGAACTAAATCTCAATCAAATGTCAAATCAAATCAAAATGTGCATATTGAAGAGGCAAGTTTGAGAAGAAATTTAACAGAACTGCCATTGACAAACTTCCAATGGTCTACCGTACAGCTGTCATCATAACTAAAAATCAAAAGCACAACTGTCAAAAAAAATTCTCAATAAAAAAAGTATTTTTATACAAGACTACAATATTGAACTAAAGAATTATGTAACTCACCGATTTCCATGTGCTGCTCATTTATGTCCATAGTGATATGACCATACTTCTGGTCTGCTTCAGAGAAACGCTGCTTTTGAATGTGCTGTACATTGAGATACCTGAAAAATAACAGTATTTCCATCTTAAAAACAGTATTGTTACCTTTAAAGTGCTATTAAAGTACCAATGAAATGAATGTTGATCAATTTTTTATACTGTAACAAGAGAGCTATTTTTCAGAATAAATCCAATCAGTTGCTTGTTCATGCAGTTCATGCATTCAAATTCAATCAAATGCATTCTACCAATTATTGGGTGGCAGAGGAAAAATTCCCTGAATTTTTTCATTGAGCTAAGAGGAATCCATAATAAATCTACAGAGCAGGCAGATTTGGATTCAATGCACTTGTTTCCGAATTACTTAAGTAAGCATGTATTTGGATACATGTTTAACAGAGCTATATGGACCATGTATGTTTCAGAGCTATAGCCATGATCTTAACCTGTCGAAGTAATGCTTGCTTATATTTTATTAATTTTTGTCCCTGAATTTGTTCAAGGAATCTTTTGTGAGTTTCTATAATGTCTACATGAAGCAGAATCATGTTACATTCATGAAAAGAAGGATAAATAAATCAAGACTATGTCTAAACCAGTGCAACATGGCAGTGTAATTAATTTTCTCATTTTAGATGTCATTTTCCTAGTAAATTACAAAAATGATCTCGGATGCTAGTGAGCATTGTGTTATAGAGCTTGTTGGCCATGCTCTTTTATAAATGAAGTACCTATTTGTGTATTTAATGTATTCAAAAACTATTTAAATAAGTTATCATACTTTAATTTTTGGAATTTAGGTTTAACATTCCAGTGTATGGGGGGTTAGCACTTTGATACCCATGGGTAATTTTTTATTAATTTTAGAAAGTACATATACATTAATTAACATGATCTTCCTCTTCTGCTCTGTGCTTCATCAGTTGCAACAAAGAATTTTTTTGAGAAAAAGTGACCCTACCAAAAAGTTACTACAAATATCAAGATGCATTGTTGGAACAGCATAGTGCAATAGAAATTAGAGTGTATAAATAACTGAATACATACGAGAATAGGCTGTCCAGATACTTGGCACCTTTGTTGAACTGCATCCAGTGTGTGTGATAGATTATTAAAATACTTTCTTCTCCAGCAGCTGATACCTGACAAGGAGAGAAATTCAATTAATATAGTTAAATTAGAACACATTGATAACTTCATTGGGGATCTACTTAATAGTTTTAAAAAATTAAATTATATTGGTAAAGGATTTTACAATCTGAAAATAAATTTAAACCAATAAAAACTTTATAATCATTTAGTTTATGAGCAACTAGAAGCATTGCCATTAAAAACCAGAGCTTAACTTTACTGGAATAGAATGCTAAGTTATCATAAGAGAACAATTAGCAGCATAAACATAACTTACTTGATTGTACAAGTTGGCCACATGGTCTGACAAGAGTTGCTTCACTTCATCATAAAGTTTTTCAGCCAATGACTCAGGAAATGCAACACAAAGAGAATAGACATCAGAGAAGCATTCTGTCCAAACATCATGGCGAACTGGATCCATTTGCAGGACATTTTTTATGGTTATACTCAATTTTTTCCACGTCACATCAAAATTTACCTCTTTGGGCTTCAAAGACATTTTGAAGCCCAATGAAATTCACTATCTGAAAGATGAGGAAACATTAAACAGTTATACTTTGTGATGGGTAGATAAAATTATGCACCAGGCAACATAGAATGAAAAGTAATCAACCTAAACTATAATTTATTTTGCCAATAAATATAATGGTTGCCACTGAAATGTTCCTTTCAATTTCAGGTATGTCTTTTACAATCTTTTCCAGTTATATTGAATTCACTTGAGCCAATTAAAATGGTGCAAAATAACAAGCCCAGTCCTGTAAGCTTACGGAGGAAATGCTGTATAGCTTCTGATATGAAGCTTGCAGTGGACAGACAAGGTTGTTGTCAATGTTCAATGGCATGTCCATGGACTAGGTAATATCACACCAATAATATGGAAATGTATGGATAAGGTAAAATCATATCAATAAAGAAAACAAGTAAAAATCACAGAAAATGTCATTTATTCTAAATATACATCATCTACAAAGGAAAAGGAAGACATCAGAGTACCATACTGTGACTAATGTTAGTAATAGATGAGTACATTATGCATGCTTCAAACATACTAAAATTAAACTTTATTTCTAGTGTCCATTATTACCCTGCTTTCAGGGTTAGTTCAGTCTTTTATTTTGCATCTGACACCTTACGAATAGCATATGGAATTTTTTCAGAGATGCCATATGAGATGAGATGTAGAATGAGACATGAGAAGAGAATGAGATGAGACAAGACATGAAATGAGATTAGATGAGACATGAGACGAGACATGAGATGAGATGAGATGAGACATGAGATGAGACAAGACATGAGATGAGACAAGACATGAGATGAGATGAGACATGAGATGAGACAAGACATGAGATGAGATGAGACATGAGATGAGACAAGACATGAAATGAGATGAGACACCTTCATTCAGAGTAGGGTTGTTGCCAGTTAGTTAGAAGCAGATAACAGGTTTATCTCACCTGCGGTGCGAGACATTTTAGACCTGGCAACAACATGACTAGAGATGAGACAAGACATGAGATGAGATGAGACAAGAGATGAGACACGAGATGAGACGAGACAAGACAAGGCATGAGACGAAACATGGGACAAGACCAGACATGAGATGAGACATGGGACAAGACATGGGATGAGACGAGACATGAGATGAGACGAGACATGAAATGAGACATGATATGATCAGTATTTAATAATATAATTATTTTTATTTATCAATTGAATAAAATTAATATCATTAATATCAAATATTAACTAACATTTATTATAATTACTCAGGATTTAATATTAATTAATATTATTATTATTAATAGCAAACTTTATTAGTTTATTCTATTTAATATCATATTTTTCAAGCTCAGTTATGTTGCCCAAACCATGAAACTGAAATTTATTCCATATAATTCTGCATTCAAGTTAAGTAATAGCATTCATATCTATCAGTTGCACCCATTTCTCCCACCCACCTGCAGTCAAAGTCTCAACCAAAATGTTTTATTCTAGTTAGAATAGATAGCCTTCATTCTACAACATGAGCATTTGAATGGTGACAAATCATTGAAATTGACTCATAGGAAGCCTACAAATGATAGTTTTTCCAAATAAAAAGTTACAAAAGTTGGTCCATTTTTGGGGTGATATTGAAGAAATGAAAAAATTCATAGCTTTTTTACTTTTTGACCTACTGCACTTGTACTTATATATTTTAATACATTTTTTTCTCTCATCAGTGATGTAATTTTCATTACAATCAAAGGAAAATTTTTTTGTGCACATAGTACCTACTTTTACCTTGTAACTCATGATTTTATTACTTTGATGTTGAAAAATGAACTTGAGGCCTTTGAGGGAGAGTCTAAAAAACTCTCTGCTTTGCCACTATGCAGTGGTGCACACCCACACTCAGGATAATGCACATTTTTGGGGAATTTTCCCCCACATAGAGTTTTATAAAGCCATAGGTTTGCGCAGTTGGCGCAATGTAATCAAAATTGTTTCTCTTTGCGCATGTGTTTGCGCAATCCCGGCCATCAATTCTACGCCACGCAGGAGCAGTTTGTGGAGGAACAGACGTAATACTCAGTACAGTATGCCTTTAACTATCCTTCAATATCATATGATTTTTCTTGATACAGAAATTTGGTGAATGAGAAACCTAGAACTTCATTTTAGAAGAAATTTTCTCCAAAGTCATATGGCAACACTGAACACCGTCTGTTTACATTTTGTATGTATAATAGCTGCAGTTTTCGATAACCGTACGTTTCATATCCGACAAGCGGAAGAGTCAGAAGCATGGTTGAACTAGTAGGTATAAGGTTGACCCATCAGAAGCCCATTTTTGCAGATGTACCTTGTTGTTCGCCTGTGACGTCACTGATCTCAGTGACGTCACGGGCATTAACCAATCACCGAAATGCGATCAAACCAGTCGACCAATCAGGCATGGGAATGACGGGATTGTTTACGTTTATCGATCTACGTGACGTAACAAGAAAGCTGAACTGAAAGAGGGAACTTCTTGTGGGTCAACCTTATATAGTTCAACCATGAGTCAGAAGTAACCCGGACATGTCTTGCATTTTATTATTGTTAGTTTGACTACTATTGTTAGTTTGACTAACTTTTTAATAGGGAGACTTCATATTTATTAAACTACAAGTGATAATCTTTATTTAATTATAGCAATGTTGAAATGTTTTTTTTTTTTGTGAAGCCCGCTTCTAGATCATTAATGGTTTTATATACATCCTCACATCGTTAGGGATGCCTGTTGCTTCCATCAGATCTTAAAATGTCAAAGTTTAATAGATACAGATTTGTATGAATGAATACCATTCAATATTGTTAGGTAGGTACATTAAATTCAGGGTGGAACATGGGAATGGCAATTGGCAATGATTAATTTATCTGAAGCAACCTTTACAAAAGTAGCGTCTAACAAGCAAACGGATGTCATGTCAACCAGAACTCGAACACCACAGCAGAGTAATTTAAGCAGCTAATGAATTTCGCAAACTTTGCTGAAAGAGAGATTATTGAATTTTAGAGAAAAGGTGGGATAATTCAATAAAGGGTGGTGGCAGAACTGCAATCATGATACTCCATTTGCAATTTGTGCTATGATAACCTACGTAACAATTGTCATATGATGGTTTTAATTTTGCACATTCAAAGTATACATGACATAACATAGCACACCCAGATTTGGAAACCATAATTGCTCAAATAAAGCAAAAATAAATGACAGATCATTTTAGTATCACATAGTTCAATTACGCTCTGTAATTATGCCGTATTGACCTAATTTGTATAGTCCATTTACGTGCATTGTTATTAGGTATTGATCGTGTCTATTTTGCCAGCCGGGAGGATGTCGGGATTGATGAACATCAAGTATCGTGTCCAGGTCCTGGCCTTCGTACCCCCTGTTGAAGGGAACAAATGTGAGTGCATTTAACGTACTATAAAAATGTTGCTTAAGGCTATGATTGAGGACTGTGTTAGGCTTTTGCAAAGCGATAAGTACTCAGAAAAATTCCCTGCCACCATGGTCCCCATGGCCACCATGGTCCCTGCCACCATGGACCAATTCCCATGCCACTTGCTGCGGCTCGCAACCAGTCAATCATTAGAAGGCACCGATGGCAGTTATGGCACATCTCAAGTGATGTCGCCATCTTTAGTTCTATGATTAACGTTTGCTTGCATTATGATCTAGTGCTATTCTAGGCTATGAAAGAATCTTCATATCCAACCCGACCAACCGCAGCACAATGCGGATATATGTTTGTGTGTACGGTGTGTGATAGACTGATAACGTTGTTGCACATCCATATTAAACTATTTTAGCCTTGTTGGAGTGTGGCGCATAGTGGCAAAGCAGAGAGTTTTTCAGACTCTCCCTCAAGTTCATTTGTGAGTCCTATAAGTAGACCAGTTAAGTATCCTGGATACCAGCAGTATCATACGACATACATAAGGAATTGATTTAAATCTTGGGTAAATAAGGAAATTGAAAATGAACTGATTCTAAAAAAGCTGTGGTTTGCCACTATGGTGTGGCGCATGGCCCACACTCAGGATGATGTACGTTTTCGGTGAATTTTCCCGCGCATTTTCACTTTTTTAAGCTATTGCTGTGAACAGTTGGCACAATGTAATGAAAATTGATTATCTTTGCGCACGTGTTCGCGCAATCCCGGCCATCTTTATTTTAGAAGAAATTTTCTCCAAAGTCATATGGCAACACTGAACACCGTCTGTTTACATTTCGTATGTATAACAGCCACAATGCATGCCACCTGGTGAGATCATCAAAAAATGTGTCAAATTTGACAGTTGACCTTGCTCTACCAAATAGCTAGTGAATAACTATTTTTATAGGAAGAATATTATGGTTTAAGACTTTTAAATACGTCTGTGAATATATTAGGAATCCTTTAAATAAACTTGTATTCGCTGATTTCAAGTTGTAAATAAATTAATAGATGATTAAGTTGAGTGATGGATTTAGACCCATCAAAACTAATTCTGACACAACTTGAATTGGACACACACAGATCGTTCCAAGCTTTGTACAAAAATTGAAATTTGCTTAATTAAAAGCCTAATAGCTGTTAATTAAACGTAATTAAGTAGTGTTCAATATTCGTTAGTGTTCTAATTCAAAGCCGTGTTGTATCCCATTATCCCAATACAGCTCACACAGCAAACGGAATTCGAATACGTTGATGTCGGCATTACGTATCAGTTAAATTTGAAGCGCTGACGCAATACGACTCACCACGTGTCGAATATTGCCACACACAGTGACGGAATATAGATAGGGATTTGGTAGGTTTCCATTCTAAAGGCTTTTTAATAAATATGGCAAGATTTTGTGACGTTTCATTGTTGCTGACGCGTAGTGAAGTGTTTTGAGAGTCACGTGAAGGCAACAGAACTTACATAATGCATACGGTTTTTTTATAGTTTTTCATTTCTCGATGCGTCCTTACTCCTTAATGTGTCGGAATATACCACGTTC